CACGAGGTCAAGAGATCGAGACCATCCTGGTCAACATGGTGAAACCCTGTCTCTACTAAAAATACAAAACATTAGCTGGGCATGGTGGTGCATGCCTGTAATCCCAGCTACTCAGGAGGCTGAGGCAGGAGAATTGCCTGAACCCAGGAGGCGGAGGTTGCGGTGAGCCAAGATCGTGCCATTGCACTCCAGCCTGGGTAACATGAGTGAAACTGAAACTCCGTCTCAAAAAAAAAAAAAAAAAAAAAAACCATGAAGTTATATTTATGATTGAAACAAATATTTATGAAGATCTGATAGGTTAAGAGAAAAAATTAATGAGTAAAGTATACAAGTTAATTTTCAATCCAAAGTACATATATATGGTAAAATGTTCTAGTTATATACATTATGGGATTTGTATAGAAAAATTCTGATATGTGTGTATACATATGTTAATATGTATATATTTACATATATACATAAACACTATACACACGTTATATATGCATGTAGATGTATAAAGGAATAGTATAGAGTTTGTATAGAGAAAAGAACCTGCATATATTCTGATACATAGGATACACACACTTACTCTAGGTGTTATGTATTATTTACATATTACATACAAGCACACTATGTGTGTATACACAGTATTTGTAGACGCTACTGTACAGTAAATACATGTATGTGTGAGTACATTTATGAACACATATCTCAAAGGAGGGAATGCCCATATTTAAGGCAGGCATTGCACATAAAATGTTAAGTATTTAGTGGACAAAAAAGAAAAAAACTCTTAAGTCTTTCTAAATGGCTATCTTATACATTATATTCCCAGACAACATAATAACTTAGTTTGCAGTGAATTATAAAAAGATGCGATGAAAAAACTTCAACATCGCTCAAAATATATAAAATCCTCAGTGTGTATTATATATATTTGAATTTATGATGTACTAAGAAATATTTTGCTAGATGGATATTTGTATTTTATAGTGTTTGAATAATTCTTCTGCTTTTCAAGGTATATGAAGAATTCCGTTTCTATTTTATGAAATAGAAGCCCTGAGGAGATTGCAGTGGAACCAGCAAGGAATTTCTTGCAGAGGAAAGTAGACAGCAGTACTAGGAAAACCCATTGTATGAAACACGGAGAAAGAAGGAATTAGGGCACCCAGGTGGGGTGAAGACCCAAGTGCAGAGTGTCACCAAGCCCCAAGAGTTGAGCAATGTGTTAAGGGCCCTGAGACTGTGGGAGGAATCTTCTCTGAGATGTGAGTCTATGGAATATGCTGTAAGATATGCCTTTTATTAGTATAATCCAGCAAAAGCCCAAGGATGAGGGCCCAGTTTTATTCTAGGGAATGTGGGGACAGTATATTTTCTTTTCATATTTATGCCAATTTCATAGTGCTGGTCAGTCACATAGAAGGCAGAGGTCAGTGTGTTCACAGGATTCATACCTGAGAGTCATGAGACACACGTGGGATCCATCTGTCTGAGCCTAGAGGCCTCAGTGACTCACCAGGTGTGGGGGTGGGACTGGTGGGTGGGGGACTGGGACCCCCAGGGGTCCTGGGAATTAGCACAGAAAGGCAGTGAGGAACTGGAACTATCCTGGAGTCCCCACCTCTACTTAAAGCTCTCCCCTCCATCTACCTGGCAGCCTTTCCAAGACTTACCACCTAGCACCAATCTGGATTCCAGGCTGAATGGAGTGCAGTGGCACTATCTTGGATCACTGCAACCTCAGCCTCCCAGATTCAAGTGATTCTCCTGCCTCAGCCTCCTGAATAGCTACGATTACAGGCACCCGCCAGCAGGCCTGGCTAATTTTTGTATTTTTAGTAGAGACAGGGTTTCACCATGTTGGCCAGGATGGCCTCGATCTCTTGACCTCATGATCCACCTGTCTCAGCTTCCCAAAGTGCTTTGATTACAGGCATAAGCCACTGTGCCCAACCATAAATGCTTTTTAGAAAACCTTTTTGTTGTTGTTCAGGAAGCCAGTTTAGGGCACAACTGCAGGCTTTTCCATTAAACACCTCTGTTTTCATTCCTAGTGACCATATGTCTGGAGAAACTACAGAAGAAAAGTGACAAGTGGTAGGGCATCATTTGGACTTAAATTTTCCAAACATGAATCTGATTTTTGCCCATGCATTTAATTATCAAAAAGCAAATGTCATGTTATGAGCTGAAAAGACAGTCCCAGTAATACACATCAGAAAATGCAGTAGTTAGAAATAATGAAAGATGTATTACCTGAAAGTGGAGTAGATCCAAACCCACCATATGGGTGAAGCCTCACATCATAGGGAAGAAAAAGGAAGGGAGGGGAAGTCAAGGAGAGTTGACAATGAGGAGAAAAACACCACAACACCACAATTTAGTGGAGGAAGCATCTTCTACAGACACCCAGACATCGTCCTGCACCTGACACATGCTTCTTCCCCTTGACATTCTCAGCAGACACATCCCCAACTGCTGCCCCAGACTTCCAGAACCTCCTGGGATCATCAGATCTGTTCCTGAAGCTCTACCACTCTGAAGGGTGTACTGTCTCTGCTGTTCACCTCCTGGCTGCATCTTGGGGGCTTTTCTGCCTGTGCTGAGCCTCAAATAGCAGAATCCCGAGGACCACCAGGATGAAGCCAGCCACACCCATGCGGATGAGATTCTCTACTGTGTAATCCTGGAGGTGTGAGGCTGGGGATGGTAGACAAAGAGGCCACAGAGGTCAGGGCAGATCACAATTACCTAGGACCCCTGGATGTCCACCCAGGGCACCCACCTCCCCTTGACAGGACCTGACCCTCTGTGCCCAGCACCATAACTGAAAGCATCTCCTCACTCACCAGTCTTGGAATCTGACTTTTCTTGTGGTCGGTTGAGGGTCTCAGCTGCTCCTAAGAATCGAAGAACAAGGATGCTGGTGAGAAGCTGAAGAGCCTCTCCCCTGGGTTCTGCATTCTTACATTCCTCTCTTGTGTTGTGACTTTATGTGGATCCTTAGTGAACACAATCTCTGCTCTAGCAGGCCTTCCCTGGTACCTCATTGGGTTCTTCAGCCTCTCTGTGCTCTGGGAATTCAGATCTTCTGAGTCACTTTAGAACAAAGTTTACTTGAGCCCAAGAGCTCAAGATTAGTGAGAAGAATGATCTTCCAACTAGAAAGAATTGAGCTCTCAAGTGCCGTCTTAGATGTGCAATCTTGTGCAACAAGAACACAGCAAATTCCCCCAGAGATAGAAATTTCCATTTTTCAGTGGATGAGGACCCAGTCTCCGTGGATGAAGAGCTGGTCCTCAGCCGCTCTTGAAAGGCAGAAGCATGAGGGCTAAGGGCTGCAACTGCCCCTGCTTCGTGCTGCCTCAACCAGCTCCCCTGCAGTTTCCTCATCCATTTAATGTCTTGTTAACGAATTCTTCATATAGTTAAGAACACTTACAATGTGATATACTTAAATACAAAAATGCATTTTTTTTTCTAAATGATAATGAGTGGGATAGAAAAACATCATTTCTGCTTTTTTGAAGTATGAACCTAGATTGGAAGGTGAAAAGCAAATATTTAAAAACATACCCGTGGCTGGGTGTGGTGACTCACGCCTGTAATCCTAGTACTTTGGGAAGCTGAGGCAGGCAAATTACCTGAGGTCAGGAGCTCGAGACCAGCCTTACCATATGGAGAAACCCCATCTCTACTAAAAATATAAAATTAGCCGGGATGATGGCACATGCCTGTAATCCCAACTACTTGGGAGGCTGAGTCAGCAGAATCACTTGAATCTGGTAGGTGGAGGTTGCGGTGAGCCAAGATCATACCATTGCACTCCAGCCTGGGCACCAAGAGTAAAACTCCATCAAAAAAACAAAAAACAAAAAACCATACCCAAACTTAAAATAAAAACAAGTAAATATCAAAAAAAATACCCAATGAAAAAATATTAAGTATAGGAATGAATGAAATATTAAGCAGTCCTATGCTTAATACCTATATGTGTGTGTCTGTATAGGTGTGTGTCTGAATATATAACACATATATTCATATAAAATATATGTGATTGACATGGTTTGCATTTGTGTCCCTCCCAAATCTCATGTTGACTTGTAATCCCCACAGGAGGGGCCCAATGGGAGGTGACTGGATCGTGGGAGCGGACTTCCCCCTTGCTGCTCTTGTGATAGTGATCCGTCACGAGATCTTGTTATTTAAAGTGGGTAGCACCTCCCCCATCTCTCTCTTCCTCCTATTCCAGCCATAGAAGATGTATCTGCTTCCCCTCCGCCTTCTGTCATGATGGAAAGCTTCCCGAGGCCTCCCCAGCCATCCTTCCTGTACGGCCTGCAGAATCGTGAGTCAGTGAATCCTCATTGCTTTATAAATTACCCAGTCTCTGGTAGTTCTTTCTATCAGTGTGAGAAAAGACTAATACAATGATTATATATGCATATGGATATATGGCATTAGAGATTTGTTTTAAAAATATATATTTAACTACATATATATTCATATTTGAGATGAGAAAGACGGGCTTACAATTTGGAAATATAAAAGTGAAATTTCTAATTTTTTATGGCTGATACAAACTTCATCAGTAAATCAGAAGAGATAAATTGACAAGCAACTAAAAGGGACAGAATCTGTAGTAAGTTCATGTGAAATAAATTAATACATACAAAGAAATAGCTTTGTGATGGATTCTTAACTCTTTTTCATATAAAATACAAAGAAATAAAAAACTGTACTTGGCCGGGCGTGGTGGCTCACGCCTGTAATCCCAGCACTTTGGGAGGCCGAGGCGGGTGGATCACGAGGTCAAGAGATCGAGACCATCCTGGTCAACATGGTGGAACCCCGTCTCTACTAAAAATACAAAAAATTAGCTGGGCATGGTGGCACGTGCCTGTAATCCCAGCTACTCAGGAGGCTGAGGCAGGAGAATTTCCTGAACCCAGGAGGCGGAGGTTGCAGTGAGCCGAGATCGTGCCATTGCACTCCAGCCTGGGTAACAAGAGTGAAACTCCATCTCAAAAAAAAAAAAAAAAAAAAAAACTCTACTTAAATATTGTTACCAATAAAGTATTGTATTATTGTTACCAATAAATATTGTAACCAATAAAGTGGTTGAGCAATTCTCAAATGTAATTATGAATGTACACAATTAGTCTAAATAAAACTTCAAAACATTTCCAAAATTCACTAATAACCTCAATTTAAAACATCTTAAAAAGCAATATAGAGAGACCTTGTCTCCAAAAATTTTTTTAAAATATATACATATATTTTAAAAGATGGGGTTTCACCATGTTGGTCAGGCTGGTCTTGAACTCCTGACCTCAGGTGATCCGCCTGCCTTGGCCTCCAAAGTGCTTGGATTACAGGTGTGAGCCACCACGCCCAGCTCAAAAAAATATATTTTTTAAAATTGGCCAGACCTGGTGGTGCACACCTGCAATTCCAGCTACTAGGGAAACTGGGGCAGGAGGATTGCTTGAGCCCAGGAGTTTTAGGTTGCAGTGAGCTATGATCCTGCTACTGTGGTTCAGCCTGGGCAACAGAGTGAGATCCCCATCTCTAAAAATAAAATAAAAAAGTTAAATTAGAAATAAAAATAAAAATAGAAGCGCTAAAGGATTTAATGTTAACAAGAAGTGACTTTCTATTTAAATGAATGTATACATTTAATGTATCTCTTTTTTTTTACTTAGTTTATTAAACTAACATTTAATGTATCTCAATAAAAATTAGAGAATTACTTATTTTAAAATCATATATCCATATATCTTAAATTAAATTGATACACATAAGTATGGCTTTTAAAGTTTCATGAAAAGAATAGCAATAGACAAATGTGCGCAGAAAACACAGAATAGAAATGAATGACACACAAGACCTGCTGTGAATAATTTCCTAACTTATCCAGGGAGCAGGTGCACAGCCCCTCTTTAGTCTCAGGGGTGCCCTGAGTCTAGAGGCCATCAGGGGCCCAAGCAGTACCCAGAGCTGGGGTGCTTCTCTCTAAAGGAGTACATCTGGGGTGGACTCCACCCTCACCACAGTGAGATCCGACTGAGGCCTGAGCAGCCTCCCCTCCTGTCCTGAGAGGGCCTAGGAACCCCACAAGTGTGGGTGAGGGGCTCCATCCCCAGGGGCTCTTGGAAATGAAAATGAGAGCTTCCAAGGGAGCGTCCATCTGTCCTCTGTCCAACTTGCCCACCTCTCTTCTTTCTCTATCAGCCCCAGCATCTTCCCCTTATCCAAGTCGGGCCCGGACCCCAAATCCTGCTCAGGTAGGGGAGGACCTAGCTTCTCCATCCATCATCAGTGCTCCCTCCTTCCTGCCTGGTCCCAGGAAACCTCCCTCCCCTCTGACCACCATGGAGGGAACACCTGCCCCATCCTTGGAGCCTCAGGGAGCCATGTGGACCACACCCTTACTGTCCACCCTCCCCTCTGCTCCTCTGGGGAACAGACCCCTTTCCCGAATATTGGAGATAAGATTGAGACAAGTGTAGAATATTACACTGGGTCAGAGTAACTGTGTTTTCATCTCCCATGGGGTCAGGACCTGGTGTGAGGGGCTGGGACACCCAGACATTAAATCTGAGGTGGAGACATCAGGAGGGGAGTGCGTGGGGCTTCCGTCCTACACCCTCAGTCTAATCTCATTTCCTCTGAGGTTCGCCCCATCTTCTCCCAGCCCTCCCTGCTCTTTACCCTACTGAGATTTCAGGGGTGGGAGCCAGGGGTGGAAGGTCCCCATCTATTTCCACTCTCATGGGCTGGACCCTCCCCTGCGGACCCTCCCCCTTCACTCCCCTCACTCCTTAGTGTCCTGAGCTCTCCTGGGGGCAGGGGCTGAGCTGAGCCTTTGAGCTCAGAGAGGACAGGGTCAGGGCCCTCACCTGAGACCACGAGCTCCACAGGGTCACTGGGGTGAGACAACAGGTAGGAGTTGGAGCTGTGTGAGCCATAGCACCTGTAGGTCCCTGTGTGGGCTGAGGTCACAGGAATGGGGAATTCAGCCAGGTACTGTTGAGCTCTGTAAGTGAATCTTAGACGCAGCAGGGGATAGGCTGTCCCCTCCTTGGTCAGAAGGAAACTGAACATTGGGCTCCGTGACTGACACAGCAGGGTCACATTCTCTCCTGAGGCCACCGTGGGGTCCAGCTGCACTGAGAGGGAGGGTCTGTCAGGGATCTGTCCTGGAGAGAAGAGGATGGGTGAGTGGCTGCCCCGCCTTGTTCTGAGCTGAGACCTCTCCAGGTCTCTCTCTGGGACCCTCAGTCTCTGTTTTCTCTGAGTCTCCCCCTCCCCACCCATCCCCTGTCTCTGTCTGTCTCTCCCTCCCTTGGGACCCCCACTCCTCATCCTGGCCATCACCACCTGGGTTCCCCGGCAGGGCCTGTACGGAGCCTGGGTCCCTGACGGAACCTGCTGGGCTCCTCACCTGTGATCAGGATGTCCAGGGGGTCACTGGGGGCCGACCACTCGGAGGAGACGTTGTGTGCACCGTAGCATCTGTACTGGCCCCCGTGGGAGACCCTCACAGGGCTCAGGGTGAAGTTGGCCTGGGAGAGCCCAGCCTGGGACTGCTCTCCAGGGCGCTGGAGGAGGCCATCGCCCTCCACCTTGTACAGAGCATATCTGACGTACCCAACGTCAGAGCCACACTGGAGGGTCAGGTTCTCTCCAGGGGCCACGACAGGGCTCTGCAAGGTCAGGAGGGAGGGCTTCCTAGACACGCCTGGAGGGAAAGAGGAGCCAGGACTCAGAGGGCTGGTTCCTCCCACACCCCTTCCTTCCGTAGTCTTCCTCACTAGGGTTTCCAGTGTCCTCGGTTTTCCTCACTCTGTATCTGTGTCCCCAGGGGCCCGTCTTTCCCTTCTCTTTTCTTCTCGAGTGGGACTAGCCTGAGGGCAAGGCTGCCAACAGCTCCCCCGGTGCCCTGACGTTGTATAAGGAAAGGCCGTGGTGTGCTCACCTGACACCAGGAGCTGCAGGGGGTCACTGGGTTCCGACCACACGTAGGGGGTATTGTTTTGATAGCCGTAGCATCTGAATGTACCCCTGTGGCTGAAGATCAGGGGGCCCATGGGGAACAGGGCCTGGAACTTTCCATGGTTGTGTTGGTGTGAGTCTAGGGTCCAGGAGAGCCTGTGGGTTCCTTCCTCAATCAGAGTGAACCTGTCCAGTCCCAGCCGAGAGGCACATCGGAGGGTCACGTTCACTCCTGAGGTCACCACGGGGCTCGGCAGGGCTGAAAGGGTGGGTCGGCTGTAGCCTTTAGGAGAAAAAAACAGGAGCCTTGTTAAATGGGGCTCACATCTCCCACCCTCTCCCTCAGGGCTGGGCTGTGAGAGGGAGATGACCCCTTTCCCGAGGGCAGAGTCTGAGGCTGGGACCCCCGAGTGTTCTCTCACCTGTCACCACCAGCTCCAGGGGGTCGCTGGGCTTTGACCAGCCTGCAGGGCTCTGATAGTAACAGTGGTATCGCCCTGCATGTTCCCACTGCATGGCTGGGATGGAGAATTTGACCTTGTTTTCAGAATCCAGTGTTTTTGATATTATCCTTGACATTGAACTTCCATCTTTATCCAGACGGTACTTCTGGGCCTCCTGGGTGCCCTGACACCAGAGGGTCACGGGCTTATTCCAGGTGCTCACGGGACCTGGCTCAGCCCACAAGATGGGTTGGAGTAGGTTTTCTGGGAGGAAATCACAGGTTAGGCCCCAAGATGTCCCCACCCCTCAGATCCCAGCTTTCAGCCCCAGGACCCTCCAGACATCCCCAGCAGTCAGCCCTGAGCTGCTCTTCTCCATCCCCAGCTGCCTACAAGTGACCCCTTGTCCCCAGTGAGGAGGAGGGACCTGGGACAGCTGGGGACAGACTCACCTGCCTGCACCTGGGTCCTGGGGTCCAGACTCAGCCCTGGAAGAGAGTTCCCTGTGAGAGATTTGCCCCTGAAGCCTTCTTTCCTAGAGCCCCTGGGGTGTCCTAATTGACCAGGGTCTGGCTGTGGATTGGGGTCTCCCCTAGACTAGGGTCTAGGTGATCACGGGACCTGGCTGGGCCCACAAGATGGGTTGGAGTAGGTTCTCTGGGAGGAAATCACAGGTTAGGCCCCAAGATGTCCCCACCCCTCAGATCTTAGCTCTCAGCCCCAGACCCCTGCAGACATCCTCATCAGTCAACTTTTCTCCATCCCCAGCTGCCCAGGGGTGGCCCCTTGTCCCCAGGTAGGAGGAGGGACCTGGGACAGCTGGCGACAGACTGACCTGCCTGCACCTGGGTCCTGGGGCCCAAACTCAGCCCTGAAAGAGAGTTCCCGGTGAGAGATTTGTCCCCAAAGCCGGAGCAAATCTTCTTCTTTCCTTGAGCCCCTGGGGTATCCTAATTGACCAGGGTCTGGCTATGGATTGGGGTCTCTCCTAGACTAGGGTCTCTCCTCCCGCTCTTAAAATCTCACCAAAGCAGAGCAGGGTTGTGAGGATGGGAGTCATGGCATCTCCTCCTCCTGGCCCCGGCTGTGCAGGTGGATGTGACCGTGGTGCCCACAGGACAGACAGACACATGGTGTGGGGCACTCGGAGTCCGGGTCCTCCCCATCACGAGGTCGTCCCATCGGCAGCCCCACAGAAAGAGGAACTGCCCCTCCCCAGGAGCTTGGCTCTCATTTCTCAGGGCTTGTTCTGAGGGTGAGCACCAGGCTCTCTGCAGGTATTTCAGACAGAAATGGGGATTCACAAGGGGATCATTAAGAAGGATGTTTTTGGCCAGGCACGGTGGCTCACACCTGTAATCCTACCACTTTGGGAGGCCAAGGCGGGCAGATCACATGGTCAGGAATTCAAGATCAGCCTGACCAACATGATGAAACCCAGTCTCTACTAAAACTACAAAAATCAGCTGGGCATAGTGGCGGGTACCTGTAATCCCAGCCACTTGGGAGGCTGAGGCAGGAGAATCGCTTGAAACTGGGAGGCGGCGGTTGCAGTGAACCAAGATCATCCCATTGTGCTCCAGCCTGAGCAAGAGCAAAATTCTATCTCAAAAAAAAAAAAAAAAAAAAAAAAAAAGGACGTTTCCACCTCTGTGGGGGACAGAAAAGGAAGTCCAGGTTCCTGACAGATAGGGAGGAACCAGGGCTCCAGGTGAAGGTGGGAAGCTGTGCCCCCGCATCTTCCGTGTTTGTACATGGACACTGCCGTATCTCTGCTTGCTGGTGGGAGGCCATGAGGGGCAGAAGGAGGAACTGTCCCTCCCCAGGAGCCTGGCTCTCATTTCCCCAGGGCTTGTTTTGGGAGTGAGCCCCAGGCTCTCTGGAGCTATTACAGACAGAAATGGGGTCTCCCCTCACCTTAGCTGCTGTCCAGTCTGTCCTCATCTCACCAAGGGCCAGGATGTGGCAGCAAATAGACCCACTGCCTTCCTGAGTCACCCCCTTCCAGGCGAGAGGGATTGACAGCTCCTCCTTCCCTCTCAGAGTCTCCCCATAGAGAAGGTTCCATCTCCCCTGTGTGTGTGTGCCTGTGAAAAACAGTCTGTGGTATTGTCACACCTGGACATCTTCCCACGTGTGACTGGGAGGTCACACTGGACTCTGCCTTGCCAGCTACAGCCTTGAGCAGATGCTAAGTTTGGAAGACTTGATTTCCCTAGACAGAAGCAGCTGCCACAATCCCCTCTGGACAGGCCTTTTCTGAGTCACGTCTGGGAGAAATGTTCTTTGTAAGATCATGTGCATAGGGGAAGATGGGGACAGCATGCATATTTGAGAAGAGATAGCCAACTAGAAATTATGTAGGCAGATGTTGTTGTGATGAAAAGTAGTAGGTTTAATTAACGCACTTAAAAATCAATTCTATGGCCAGGCACGATGACTCATGCCTGTACTCTCAGCACTTTGGAAAGCCCAGGCCAGTAGATCACCTGAGGTTCAGAAGTTTGAGACCAGCCTGGCCAACAGGGTGAAACCCTGTCTCTACACTAAAAATGCAAAAATTAGCTTTATTTTTTAACTCCTTTAAACATTACCAAACATACCAATGTCTGCTCTTTGCATTATTCTTTAAGTATTAACATCTTTCCAGGTCCTACATTAAGTTAAATAAAAACTTGTGTACATTTTATTCTTGTAGAACAGTAATTTTTTTTTTACCTTTTCGGAAAAAAAAAAAAAAACTTTACCAAAATATATTTAAGATGAAGAATGCTGGGCCTGGCTCACGCCTGTAATCCTAGCACTTTGGGAGGCCGAGGTGGGCGGATCACCTGAGCTCAGGAGTTTGAAACCAGCCTGATTAACATGGTGAAACCCCATCTCTACTAAAAATACAAAAAAATTAGCCGGGCATGGTCGTGGGTGCCTGTAATCAATCCCAGCTACTCGGGAGGCTGAAGCAGGAGAATCACTTGAGCCTGGGAGGCAGAAGTAGCAGTGAGTGGAGATCAGTCAGTCCACTGCACTCCAGCCTGGGTGACAGAGTGAGACTCCATCTCAAAAATAAAAATAAAAACAAATTAATAATAATAATACAAACTGCAGGCCTCTTGGATTCTAAAAACGGGAGTTGTGTATCTCTTTCTCTAAATTTAGCCTGGCCCCTCTTTCTTGAGTTGGCTGCAGCAGGTCCCATGAGTTCCCAGTGTGGTCGAAATCATAAATATTGTCTCTTTCATTTCCCTTTTTCACATCCCCAAACCCATGTGTTGGTTCAGCTGGGGAGCTCTATTTTCTTGGGGAGGAAAGTGAGATTTTGAGGAAAGTAGCACAGTGGGTGTCATATGCAGGGGAGAGTCACTTTCAAGTCCTGTGGTTGCAGGGTGACAGCCTGGTGCTCATAGAAATCTGCTCAGAAAATCTCTATCTTGTTTCTGTTCCTTCCTCAACACAATGGCCATGGTTACTGGTGGAGACAAAATATGTCCAGAGTGGACTGGAGTCCAAGAAAAGATGTATCTGGCATTGCCTTTCCTAGAAAGTCACTGGGACAGAAGTTCAGAAATGAATGAGCTTTTGAAAACAAGAATGGGCCGGGCGTGGTGGCTCATGCCTGTAATCCCAGCACTTTGGGAGACCAAGGCGGGCAGATCACCTGAGGTCAGGAGTTGGAGACCAGCCTGGCCAACATGGTGAAACCCTGTCTCTACTAAAAATAAAAAAATTAGTTGGGCGTGGTGGTGGGTGCCTGTAATCCCGGCTACTCAGGAGGCTGAGGCAGGAGAATTGCTTGAACCCTGGAGGTGCAGGCTTCAGTGAGCCGAGATTGCACCACTGCATTCCAGCCTCGGCGACAGAGCAAGACTCTGTCTCAAAACACACACACACGCACACACACAAATGGCATTCTGCCTTTGATAAATGGGAGAATAACATCCCAGATTTATTTAGAGTTTAATAAAGGTATTCATCTTCAGAGCAGCTGAGCAAATTCAACCTTGAACTTCCACTCTCCACGAGTTCCCTGACCACCCTGTCCCTTAGAATAGAAGACGCCTTCTATTCTGGTCTTCAAATTGGGGCCTGATTCCATTGGTTTTGGAGATGTCTGTTTGTAATTCAAAAAAAAAAAAAAAAAAAAGCACTGTGGACAAGAGCAAGGGATGCGGTCTGTTCTCTCTTCCCACTTCAGGTGGGCCTCTTAACCTTCACTAGTTTCCTTCCACAATGACCACCCAAGAGCTACAAACGACCCCAGCACTGCTGGAAAAATAAAGGCTTCTCTTTTCATCTCCCCTTCTTCCCTACCCCTTCTGGAAGCAACCTCTTCTGTAAAGATTTCATGTGCAGGATACACTGAGAAACTCAGCTCAGGACTTGGGGAGATTGTGACTCCTCTAGGACCCTCTTACTCAGCAGATGTGAAGTACATTCATGAGGGTGAAGGGCTGCGGAACCCACATGCTGCTTGGGCCATGACAAGAGGAACACGCAAGGCTCTGGTTCCCTTTGCTCTATCCCTTGCCTCCATCTCCTTTCCTAAAAGGTAAACCTCCAACATTGTTAATCCCTCACTCATCTATGCCCCCCAAGTGAGGTAAGGCATGGGGTGAAAGTGAGAATAACTATCTTCTTTTATCCTTCTCTGGGCTGGGACTGCCCTGTGTCTAACCCTCTCTTCTACTCCTTCCTTCCCATTCCAGCCCAGGGCTCTCCTGGCATAGGGATGCATGCTGAGCATCTAGAATTTCCATGCACATGGGTCATGGAGCTCCTATCCTGAGAACACAAACACTGGGGTCACGGGGGTGTGCAACAGGAGGAGGAGTGTATCGGTTTGTTTTCATGCTGCTAACAGACATACCTGAGGCTGGGTAATTGATAAAGGAAAGAGGTTTAATGGGCTGCCCATTCCATATGGCTGGGGAGGCCTCACAATCATGGCGGACGCCAAGGAAGAGCAAAGTCACATTGTACATGGTGGCAGGCAAGAGAGCGTGTGCAGGGGAACTCCCATTTATAAAACCATCAGAACTCCTGAGACTTATTCACTATGACAACAGCACAGGAAAAAACCTGATTTTCATCATAGACAGGCTTCAGGAGGGGGTGTCTGATTTACATAGGGCCCAAAGACTGGTTGGACCCAGGTGTGACATTTACATATCACATGAAGAAGCTGGCCACCCCACCCTAATGTATTATGCAAATGGGTTTTCTACTCAGCTGGTGCCATGCAGTGTGCTCCCTACTACACATATGGTTGGCAAGGAAAGGGAAGATAGAGCCACCTTGTTGGACGTGCCTAGCCCCAGGTAGCCTTTTCCTATTGGTGCAGCTGCTGGCATTCACCCGGGCAACCTTGTAGCTTGCTTATGTCTGCAGCTTGATTTTACAGGCTGCTCTTTTTAGGAAAAAAAATAAAAATAAAAAAAATCCAAAAAATGATTCCAGTGTTTGGGAAGCTGAGGCGGGTGGATCACTTGAGGTCAGGAGTTCCAGACCAGCCTGGCCAACATGGTGAAACCCCATCTCCACTAAAAATAAAAAAATTAGCTGGTATGGTGGCACATGCCGTAATCCCATCTACTTGGGATGCTGAGGCAGGAGAATCGCTTGAACCTGAGAGGCAGAGGTTGCAGTGGGCAACAGAATGGGACGCTATTTCAAAAAAAAAAAAAAAAAAGAATTCTCAGTTTGTATAACCTTATGAGCCAATTCATTATAAAACTGTGTGTGCATTTGTGTGTGTGTATATATTCTATAAGCTCTCAAGTTCTCTTTTTCTGGAGGATCTAGAGGAATACAAGTGGAAAAGACATTTTCCCTGGACTTGTGGAGCTCAGACTAATAAAGACAAACATTGCAATTATTCAGGTAACAGATAATTTAGCTACGGTTTTGTTGAACCATAGAGAAGCAGAGAATCAGCAGAGGATGAGACTCAACAGCAGGTGAACATGAAACAGCCAGAATCATCACAGTAAGGTGACCTTCTGGAGAACGGGAGCCCAAGTCCTGAATATTTGGAGCTACTAGAGAGGCAAGGGTGGGAGCCCTCAACCAGGAAGAGTGTGAGCAGTTCTCAGAGCTGACAGTAATCCAGAGAATGCAGGGAGCTGGTCACTCGGGCTTTTGTGTAGCTTGCAAGTATACTTGGATTTCATCTTGAAGGCAGTGGGTAAATTTTAAGCAAATGAACGCGTGAGCAGATTTCTGTTTTAAGAAAACCACTGGATCCAAGATGGCTGATCACTAGCAGCTCGGGATTGCAGCTCCCACTGAAAGAGCAGAGAACGAGAGGACGCCACACTTTCAGATCAATTTTTGTTGCTCA